AACTCCGGGAGTTGGTGATGTACAGGGAGGCCTGGCGTGCTGCGGTTCATGGGGTCTCAAAGAGTCAGATACAACTGAGGGACTGTACTGAACTAAGTGAATACCACATGCAACTATTAAGTTTCCTTTGGCTTAATGTACAAACTATATTTCTTCTAGCAGAGGACCATGAGAAAATGTGGTAGTTATATGATAGTTTGAAAATATTCCATCTTATTTTCCTTCACTGTTAAAAAATAAAAAATTGGGTCCCCTTCCTTCCATTTTCCTCAATTAATGTGTGTATCTCTGTTTGGTTGGAAAATGGTTGAAGTACAATCATGTTGCACTGGCTAATTTTTCAATAACTATAATAATCAGTGGGAAATAGAAGAGAAAAATTATCTTTAGGCATCATTTTTGTGTCTGTATATGCTTTTTTCTACAGGTATGTGAAGTTTTCACAGTGTCTATTAACCCATCAAGCAATAATACACATTTCTGGAGGCAATTCTCCACATAGATACAAAGTTTTGAAAAATTTTAGTAAATACTGAATTATTTAGGAAGACAACTACTGTATAAACTAAGAGAAAGTTTATTTTGTTAATACTGTATGTAAGTGATTAATAGAAATTTAAGATCTGATCACTAATGTTGTCAGTGTCAGTAGCAGGCATATATTTATTGGTGCAAGCATGTTTCATATTGTCTTTTTTCAGTTATTTGTATCTGGGCATTTACAGTGTTGAGATATATGCTTTCTTACTATTAATTATTTCTCTTCTGTTTCTCCTTCATATTACAAATTGCATATTCTATTAATTATTTAAAGTGTATTCATATAGATATTTACATTTACTCTGAATTTTGCTCCAGGCTAGTAAAGGAAGTGTGACAAAATTTTTATCATACAAAAGAGGTATTGGATCAGATAGGTTGAAAGCAATTATCTTAGATTAGTGAGTTAATATATAATCCTGGGATTCCTTGTTAGATAAAATGAAAAATCACTACTCTTTATAAAGAAAACATGTATTTCACCAATAAGGATGACTGACACATGTAAAGGAATACTATAGCATAATAATCTTCATTTACACAAATTAAGAAAGGTGAAACTCAGTCTGCAAATCAAAATTGAATTTATCTCTAGATGTCTCCTCTCAGACCCAAATCTACCCGTCCTCCTCAAACACTTATACTCACCATTATTTCCTAACTTGAATACAAAAGCAGAATATTATTTCACCATATTTTGCCCCTCATTTCCCAATGTCATATGACTGCCAAGGTTTATGGATGGTACCACCTCAGTCCTCTGTCTCTTTCTCACTTGCCTCTCCCCTATTCCCACTCTTAACTACTTATTGCAGGCTTCTGATCCTTATCCATACTCTTAAGGGCCAGATATCAGCTTCTAGAATTAAAATTTATTTTTTCAAATTTTAGAAACAATATCCTTCATCTTGCAAACACTGTGTACTAGATGTAGGGAGCAACCTATGCTTAAAAACACTATTGTTTTTGCAGCTAAATGTGTGAATACTTTTACTAATTTGAAAAAAAATGAAGTTCAGTACAGGGTTTATTACCAAATAACTTCAGGTCAGATTTTACCACTAAAAGAAATACTAAAATATTTTCTTTTCTCAGAGCTTTCTGGATTGAGGGATTCCAAATCAGCTAAAGGGATCATGGATCTTTAAACAATGATAATCTCTCACTTGGGCTAATAAAACAGCTTTCTAAATTCTCATCCTGTTTTGCAACTTTTTAGCATCCCACCTATCACCTTTCTAAGACTGTGTTGGCAAATACAATTGCCTCAGTCATGAATGAATAAATGACATTTACAGCAATATGGATGGATTTAGAGATGATTGTACTAAGTGAAGTAAGCCAGACAGAGAAAGACACATATCATATGATATTGCTAATGAATGGAATCTAAAAAAAAAAAAATAGAACTTATATATGAAATAGAAATAGATCCACAAACATAAAAATAACAAATGTATGATTATCAATGGGGAAAGCAAAGGGAGAGATAAATTAGGAGTCTGGGATTACCCTATACACATTACTATATACAAAATAGATAACCAACAATGACCTACTGTATAGCATAGGGAACTATACTCAATATACTGTAATAACCTATAAGGGAAAAGAAAATATATATGTATGAAAACATATATATATAGAAGGAACATACCTCAACATAATAAAAGCTATATATGACAAACCCACAGCAAGCATCACCCTCAATGGTGAAAAATTGAAAGCATTTCCCCTGAAATCAGGAACAAGACAAGGGTGCCCACTCTCACCACTACTATTCAACATAGTTTTGGAAGT